GGAGCTGGTAAACAGCTGCCCTGGACACAGATTTGACCTGTGCCTCCATGGACAGATGTGAGTCCAAAATGACTCCCAGGCTGCGCACCTGGTCCTTCAGGGGCACAGTTACCCCATTCAGGACCAGGGAGTCCTCCACACCCGCCCGCCCCGTCCCCCCAAAACAGTACTTCTGTCTTGTCAGGATTCAACCTCAATCTGTTGGCCGCCACCCATCCTCCAACCACCTCCAGACATGACTGGCAGAGGCTGTCTGGGGTTTCAGGCAGGGGACGTTCCCATCCTGCCTGGAGAAGATGCTGCCACTGGGGACTGAAGCTGGGTGCTCTGCCAATGAGCCCCCATTCTGATGAATGGGCCTTGCAGACTTCTAAACCTTCCTGTGGGGGGTCACACCAACAGGCCTTTCCACATCTCTTGGGGAAACGAAAGAGGAGCCTAGAAGCCCCTGACCCTTAAGATATTATGAAGACACAAGGGACACACACAGACCAGAAGAGGTTGTGCGCTGCAGTTTGCTAACCAAATGGACAACGTTCCTGCAGTGAGGTGTGCAGGGCTAAAGCAGGCTCAACTTCCTTTGGCTACTTGAGCTCCAAAAGCATCTCCTAGTCCAGGGGTTCTCCCCCTGTGGGTCCCCAGATGTTGTTGGACTACAAGTCCCATCATCCCTGAGCTCTGGCCTTGCTAGCTGGGGTGATGGGAATTGTAGTCCAACAACATCTGGGGACCCACAGGTGGAGAAAGGCTGTCCCAGACTAGGCTGGGACTCATGTGCCTCTCAACAGCTTCAACATTTGGCACCAGGCACAGAACTCTGCATTATTTTTTCTAAGATGAAATCGCTGCGTAGAATTTCTATCAGCCTTGGGGCAGAGCTGTGCGAGTGAAGCAAACCTGCACAAAGTATTTGGGTCACGAGAACGTCTTCCTTTGAGCTGCGCCGGGTCTTTGAGCAGCTCCCCAAAGGGATGTCAGATCCGCCTTCTCTTTTGCACATCAAAGGCCCCTTCGGATCAAGGCGGCTCCTCAGGTGGGAGAGGGAGCGGAACGGATCTCCCTTGCAAAACACAGGGGCTCCCAATACAGAGGGCCTTCTCGGTGGTGGCGCCCGTCCTGTGGAATGCCCTCCTGTCAGATGTCAAGGAAATAAACAACTATCTGACTTTTAGAAGACATCTGAAGGCAGCCCTGTTTAGGGAAGTCTTTAAGGTTTGATGTTTTATCGTGTTTTTAGTACAGTGGTACCTCGGGTTACATAGGCTTCAGGTTACATACGCTTCAGGTTACTGACTCCGCTAACCCAGAAATATTACCTCGGGTTAAGAACTTTGCTTCAGGATGAGAACAGAAATCATGCTCCGGTGGCGCGGCAGCAGCGGGAGGCCCCATTAGCTAAAGTGGTGCTTCAGGTTAAGAACAGTTTCAGGTTAAGAACGGACCTCCAGAACGAATTAAGTTCTTAACCCGAGGTACCACTGTATTATGTTGGGAACCACCCAGAGTGGCTGGGGAAACCCTGCCAGATGGGTGGGCAAAAAATTATTTATTTATTTATTTATATTATTATTATTATTATTATTATTATTATTATCATTATTATTATTATTATTATTATTATTATTATTAGACAGCTGACAGGCAAGCAAGAGGAAGCTCCTTCACCTCCCCAAAGTCAGCTGGTCACCAGCAAAGGATATTTCAACAGGCCCCATTGCAGGAAGGCTACAGGCGGGCGATGGGTGCCCCGGAGTGGGGAAGGGAGACAGCCTCAGGGGCAGCAAGCAGAGGGTCCCTCTCCCATCCCCACTGGCAGCATCTCCGGGCAGGGCTGGGAGAGGAGCCTGCCTGAAACCCTGGAGAGCCGCTGCTGCCAGTCAGAGCAGGCAGCCCTGAGCTAGATGGAGCCAGGGGCCTGAGTCAGGAGAAGGTCGCTCCCGATGGTCCTGTCTGGGCCCCACAGGCAGCGCCAGCCTGGCCCTTTCTCAGGCTACCTCAAAGGCCACTTCCACACCAGGGATGGAAAGGAGCTAATCGCCAAGGGCACATTAAGCATAGGTTATCATTGGAATAAACATTCACACATTTATTAGTTGAACGTATGATAGACAAAGCAAGGATATGTACAATTTTATAACATGCAGAAAACAAGATAGGTAAAAAAATCAGGGATGGGAGGTGAGGGAAGTCTTTGGGGGGAGAGGGAGGGTTGAGGGAGAGGAATAAAGGGGGAGGAAATAATGTAATTGATTACAAGGATTGACAAATTGTTATGTTGAAATTGGTTAATAAAAATATTTTTTTAAAAACAAAATAGGTTATCATTGTTGCAACAACGGAATGTCTAGGCACTGTTTTCCCCTGAGAAATTGGGAGTTGGGGTTGTTATTAATTTCATTTCTATGCTGCTTTATATGTTAAAGGGAAAAATATCTCCAACATGAAACTCAGATATAGAAGCCAATCGCCAAATGGCACCATAAAACGAAGTTACGGTTGCCACAACAGCAAGTCTAGAGTCCATTCCCTCCCCCCCCCCAGCAGATCCCTTGCAAGGTTCCTGGCATGGGGAGCGCATCAGGAGCCCCACTTGGCTGACACGCTGAGCCCCCTAAGCTCAGGCCTCAATGCCCCCCTTTCCCCCAGAAAAGCTGGATTCTCCCCTAAGGACTGGATCCCACTTGCTCTCGGCTTCACAGTCAACCAAAAGTCCCCTAGGCCTCCCAGCAGGAAGAGGGGGCTGGAGGGGGAGGCTGAGCTTTGCCCCACCAGGACAGGGGGAGAAATGCTCACCGCCTGCCTTTCGAAGGCTGCAGGAAGCCCTTCTCATCCCAGGAAATTGGGACTGTCTGCCCCTTTGGCGCTGCTTTGGTCTGTTGCATAGTTAGAGCACACAGTTCGACTATGGAACTCCCTCCCACAAGAAGCAGGGATGGCCTGGGTGGCTTTAAGAGGACTGGCCAAATTCCTGGAGCAGGAGAGGGCTATGGCTGGCTCCTAGCCAGAACAGCTGTGCCTGGCCTCCACAGTCAGAGACAGCCAGGCTTCTGGATCCCCGTTTCTGGAAACCCCAGGAGGACGGGATTGTCGCTCTTGTGTTCAAATCCTGCTTGCAGGTTTCCCATTGGGGCAGGCACCCCCCACCCTTCGGCCCTCCAGATGTTTTGGCCTACAACTCCCATGATCCCAATTAATAGGACCAGTGGTCAGGGGTGATGGGAATTGTAGTCCCAAACATCTGGAGGGCTGAAGTTGGGGGCACCAACTTTTGGGGCATCTGGAGAGAACAGGGAGCTGGGCTGGCCGGGCCAAAGGCTCTTCTGCGGGTGTTGTGTTCTCATGATGTTAACGCCATGTTCCTTCATCCCTCTGAAGACCTGAAGAACCACAAGTGGGGACAGGGCTGCTGCGCTTGCCAGGGAGAGAACAAAAACTGGGCGAGCTGGACCACCGGCCGAACCAGCACTTGGCCTCCTGAAATGCAGGAAAAGTTCAGTCCCGTTCTCAGCGCCCCTTGGGAAAACATCGGACAAGGCCAATGGCCCCTCTGGTCCAGCATCCTGTTCTCCCTGGGACCACCCAGGCGCCGGCAAGAATAATAATAATAATTTATTATTTATACCTTGCCCATCTGGCTGGGCTTCCCCAGCCACTCTGGGCGGCTTCCAACAAAATATTAAAATACTGTAATGCATCAAACATTAAAAGCTTCCCTAAACAGGGCTGCCGTCAGTTCTCTTTTAAAAGTAAAATAGTTGCTTATTGCCTTAACATCTGGTGGGAGGGCGTTCCACAGGGTGGGCGCCACCACTGAGAAGGCCCTCTGCCTGGTTCCCTGTAACCTCACTTCCTCCAGGGAGGGAACCGCCAGAAGGCCCTCGGAGCTGAATGATGGGGGTGGAGACGCTCCTTCAGGTCTACTGGACCGAGGCCGTTCAGGGCTTGAAAGGTCAGCACCAACACTTTGAATTGTGCTCGGATACGTCCTGGGAGCACATGGGCCAAACAGCACTCTGCCCATGCAAATCCCAGCCACCGGTGTTTGGAGGCATCACTGCCTCTGGCTGTGGAGGTTCTACACCTGTGGCTAGTTGTGCTCGCAAGCCCTCTCTCCTCCTCCATTACTTTGTCTAATCTTCTTTTTCACACCTGCCTCCAGTGGGAGGGAGTTCCACAGTTCAACTGAGCACTGCAGGAAGGACATTCTTCTCTCTGTCGGGAATCTTCCAACACTGAACACCCAAAGCTAAGGCGTGCTGAGTGTCTCAGCCAAAACAGCATTTGGGTTGGGTCCAGCCGCCTTGTGCGTCCCAGAGAACCCCTATGGCAGACTGCGCCCCCCTTATGTGCTTGCAGGGGCTGATGGGAGTTGCAGTCCAAAAGTTGCATCGGGAGGGTCCCAGGTGGGGGGGGGAGAGAGCAGGCCCTGAGGCTTCGCGGTGCAAGGAGCAATCCTTGCAGGAACCGGACGCAAAGAGCGTGACTCTGCAATTCTCCTCCGCCGGGAAGCGCAAAGGCAGCAATCCGGGCGGACGCCTCTCCCGTTGGGGCAGCTCCTGTCGACTTCGCCCGGCTTGGCCTTGCAGACCTGGGGCGTCCATGCAACGCCTCCCCCCCAGCCTGGCCTTCCCGACCCACTGCAGGAGCTGCCGCCCCCTTTCCTCCGCCCCATTTGCACGCCCGGAGCGCAACCCCGCAGTGCGCTCTGCAGAACGGAAAACTCGACGGCGGCTGCGGAGCGGCGCTCCTGCCTCGCCCTCGCCTCCCGCGGCGCTCTGCCCATGCTCGCGTGCTGCAGGCCCACGGGCAAAACCCCCCAGGGCGTCCGAGGGGCGCTCTGCACGGGCTCAGAGGCACTCTTGCCGCCCCAAAGAAAAGCACCGCGCCCCACTCCTGGTCCTTGGCGAGCCATTCCCCGGGCGAGAGAGGCGCCCTCTGCGCGGGCTCAGAGACCCCCTGGCCAAGTCGCCTTACCCCCCCCCCATCCCAGCCCCACTTACTGGTCCGGGTGGGATCCGCCTCGCTGGAGCAGCTGGCGCAGCGGGACGGCGGCGCGCCCGAGGAAGCGGTCGGTGCCGACGAGGGCGCGCTGCCAGACGGTGATCTGCAGCAGGAGCGCCGGGTCGTCGGCGTCGGCGTCGTCGGGGCCGGGCGTGGGTGGCAGCTGGAGCGCGCACTCGTCGGCCCAGCGCGGCCCGCTCCGCTGCGGCGCCACCGGCGTGCGGTACTTCTGGCCGCCCAGCTGCAGAGCCACGAAGGCGTCGCCCGACGGGCCGCCCTTGGCGCGCAGAGCCCGCGCCTGCACCACCGTCACCTGGACGTGGCTGGGCAGCCACGACGGCGGCGAGGACGGCGCCCCATCCGCCGACGACGACACCCGGCTCATCCTCGCCGAAGAAGGCGCGCAAGGTCGGGCCTCTGCGGCGGCGGCGGCTCCGCGTCCCTCCGTCTGTCCGGGCGCCCGGCCGGCCTCCTCGGCTCGCTGCTGGCCAAGACGCGCCCTCCTCTCCTCTCCTCCTCCCTCCTCCTCCCTCCTTCTCCCTTCCCTCTTTCTCTCCTCTCCTCCTTCTCCCCTCCCTCTTTCTCTCCTCTCCTCCTTCTCCCCTCCCTCTTTCCCTCCTTCCTCCGCAGGCTCCTCCTCGCGCCCCGTCGCACGCGCGGACAGCTCGGCAGCTGCAGACGCTGCGCTTGCAAGGCGAGGGGGCTGCTGCTGGCACCGCCTCCTGCTCTTTCTCTCCACCGCCCCCCCTCTCCACCCTCCAGCAGCCCGGGGCAGGATCCAAGCGCCACCCCCGCCGCCCCGGGGGAAATGCAAAGACGGGTTGCCCCCATCGCCTTTGCAACCCTGGCAATGCAACGCGGACCGCCGCTGGTGCGCCTTTGCAGAATCCGGGCTCTGCGCCCCGATGGCGGGCGGCCAGCTCTCCCCCCCCCCCAATCCCGGCGAGGTTGGCCCAGGGCCCGTCTTGGGAGGGGGTGGGGGGTGCAGGAGGGACACGATCCGCAGCCAAGCTCTCCTGGGCAGCCCCGTTGGCACTGCGGAGCGCTCCTTTGGCTCGCCTGGTGAATGGCAGCTTGGGCTAGACTCGGTTTGGCAGGGCACAGACCAAACTGCCTGTGGGATGGCCGCCTCCGGAGGAGCCCTTTCCAGTGACTGCCACAGAGAAGCCCGTTTATTTATTTCTGGGAGTATTTTAATCATAGAACTGGACGGTTCGAAGGGGCCACCCGAGGTTCTCTAGACCAACCCCCTCCAGTGCAGGAATCAGCCCTGTTGAGGGAAGTTTTTAATATTTAACGCTGTATTGTTTTTAACACTTGATTGGGAGCCGCTCAGAGTGGCTGGGGAAACTTAGCCAGATGGACGGGATATAAATAATAAATTATATTATTATTATTATTATAATCACAGCTCAAGCATCTCTCGCAAATGGCTATCCGACCTCTGTGGGAAAACCTCCACCACCTCCCGAGGAAGCCCATTCCACTTTTGAATGGCTGGCGCATGCAGTCAGAAAGTTCTTCCCTTTTCTTGGGACGTGAATCCATTGGTTCGTGTCTTCCCAGCACCAGAAAACAAGTTTGCTCCCTCTTCCCTGTGAACAGCCCTTCAGCTATAACAGAACCATTCACAGAGTTGGAAGGGAACCACCAGGGTCATCTAGTCCACCCCCTGCAAGGCAGGAATCTTTTGCCCAACATGGGGCTTGAAACCACAACCCGCAATTGAAAACCACAATTAAGAGTCTCGTGCTCTGCTGACTGAGCCATCTCCTTGCTCGTATCTCCTCTCAGTCTCCTCCAGGCTCAACATGCCCAGTTCCTTCAACCGTTCCTCATCAGGCTTCGTTTCCAGACCCTCAATCGTCTTGTTGCACACCTTCCAGCTTATCAATAGCTGTTCCTCCTTGCCTTTGGTTGTAAGTTGCTTTGGGCAATATAATAATAATAATAATAATAATAATAATAATAATAATAATAATATAATAACAACCGCAGCCCTAATACTACATGCCACACACCACAGCAGCAAAAATTTGGCCCCTCTTATATGCAGGGTCTCCTGAGTTGAAGCTGAAATTTCCTCTACAGTTACACTATTCCCCTTTTATGCTAGTTCTTGTCCAAGGTGGGGGATTTATTGGAGAAATTGCTTGTGGGGAGATATTTTAATGGTAGATCTGTGACATGACTCCCCAGCTTATAGCACAGTGCTCCTCTGAAGCAAGAGGGGTCTGGAGACAGTGAACTGAGTTCAGCCCAGAGGAGGATATTTCCGTGGGAAGGCAGTAGCCATTGGGCGATGCTCCCTCGGGTGAGCTTGTTAATGGCAGCAGAGAAATGCTCCAATGCCAGGTCCCAGAAAACACATGCATGTTGCGCTTCTCAAGCGGGGGCTACGCATTCCTGGGTGTGTCACCGTGCAGTACAAGCCTTCTCCCTTTTTCGTATTTGCAGAGCCAGCAGCAGACTTACAACTGTTGCTGCAGCTCCTTTAAGAGACCAGCTGACTCCTTGCCTCCAGAGATGTGTGGCAGCCAAATCCTGTTCAAATACATGTTGCCTATATATCAGCATTGCAAGAGAAAAACAGAATGCAGACTCATTCCCTGTGTTGCAGTGGGCGGGAATAGATGAGCCTTGGGGGCCCCTTCCAACCGTACAGTCCTGTGATTCTATGACTGTTAACCACTGATGTGGCAGCCTTGAATTTTCAGGTGCAGTGCATCTATTATTATTATTATTATTATTATTATTATTATTTTATTTTATTATTATTTCCAAAGGGTAGCTGACACAACACTAATTATAAATGGATTGTAATTTGGTCTTTTTGTGTTTGTGTGTTTGTTTTGTGTTTTCTTCTTGAATTAGATTATGATTTGATTTGTTATTGATTGGATGCTTTTAATGGGAAATTAATTAAAATTATTATAAAAAAATAAAGGCCCAATTTCTGCATTGTGCAAAGCAGATCTCTGAGAAGACAGTACCTGCAGAAGGCCCTCCTCACCTGCAGAGCGCAGGGACTGACCGGGCAAAGCAGTGGGGACACAACCTTCCAAGTCTCCTGGTCCTGAGCTGCATAGGGCTTTTATGCAGCCAAAATGGCGCCTTGAACTTAGCCCAGGAGCTCATTAGAAGCCTGGGCAACTCTTCCCAGTGGGGAGACGTGTTGGCAATAGTTTGCCCCAGTGCAGGGCCGTCTTAAGCATATCCGGCGCCTTGATGCAAAGATCCCTCTGGCGCCGCCACCCCCATTTCCCAGATTTTTTGACCTTTTTTAGGGCTGAAGGAGGCGGGCAGCAGCTGGAGGGTGACTCCTCCAGTGGGGAAGAGGTGGAGGCTGGACGTGGCACCTCCCAGCTCAGCTGGACGCTTCGTGCCACGGTGGCCACAGCAGGCAGCAGAGCAAGCGGGCCTGTGCCTAGCGAACGAGGGTGCGTCCCTCGCTCAATCAGCGCGCTCATTCAGTGTTCCCCGGACTCTCGCCCGGCGCCCTCCAGAACTTGGCACCGTGGCGCCCCACACCTCTAGCCTCTATGGGTAAGCCGGGCCTGCCCCAGTGAGCAGAAGAGCAGCTGCATTTTGCAACGGCTGCCGCTTCTGGACCGACCCCAAGGGCAGGCCCCCAATCGAGCAATGGCAGCACTCTATCCTGGAAGTGAGAGCTGGACCATAAAGAAGGCTGATCGCCGAAGAATGGATGCTTTTGAATTCTGGTGCTGGAGGAGACTCTTGAGAGTCCCATGGACTGCAAGAAGAGCAAACCTCTCCATTCTGAAGGAAATCAGCCCTGAGTGCTCACTGGAAGGACAGATCCTGAAGCTGAGGCTCCAAGACTTTGGCCACCTCATGAGAAGAGAAGACTCCCTGGAAAAGACCCTGATGTTGGGAAAGATGGAGGGCACAAGGAGAAGGGGACGACAGAGGACGAGATGGTGGGACAGTGTTCTCAAAGCTACCAGCATGAGTTTGACCAAACTGCGGGCGGCAGTGGAAGACAGGAGTGCCTGGCGTGCTCTGGTCCAGGGGGTCACGAAGAGGCGGACACGACTAAACGACTCAACAACAACAACATCCTGGAGGTGACTAGCGCCTGGACAACATGCCTGGACAGGACTGGCCTACCATTGATGAAGGAGGGCATCATCCAGGATGGGCTGTGGATCCTTGATGCTGCATCTGAAGAAACCCGTGGCCAGAAGTGAGCTCTCATTTCTCACCCACCCACTCCAGGTCTGTCTTGTGATGCCTGCCTGGCTTAGCTGCTCTCCCTCCCTCACACAAAACACTTCGCTTTGTTGCAGCTGCAGAAATGCCTGGTGCAAATTCTGGAGCCGTGAGTCTTGGTCCAAGGAGTCTGGCTCCAGCCAAGGACAAATGTAGATAAGCTGGGTGGGAGAAGGAGGGATACATTTGCCCCTGGATGCCCCTGCCAAGCTCCGAAGCCCTGGGGCCAATAACACACCCACCCCCCGCCTCTCCCACAGAGAGCCCCCTCCCTCCAGGCCAGCTGAAAGCAATTTGGGCAAATCCCACACAGGATCATCTCTGCAGCAGCTGCATCTCTCTGGCAAGGACACGTCCAGCTCCCCTGCGTCAGCTGAGGGGCACCTGCCACAGGGATCGGATGTCCGCGGCCTCCGCCTCTTCCTCCTCCAAACAGCCAGCGGGTTCAGGAGAACAAGAGGCATTTTGAGTCACCCACAAGCGCTTTGGGGCCTGCTCACCATCAAGGGTCAAAGAGCCAGTGTGGTGTAGTGGTTAAGAGCGGTGGACTCGTAATCTGGTGAACCGGGTTCGCTTCCCCGCTCCTCCACATGCAGCTGCTGGGTGACCTTGGGCTAGTCACACTTCTATGAAGTCTCTCAGCCCCACTCACCTCACAGAGTGTTTGTTGTGGGGCAGGAAGGGGAAGGAGATTGTGAGCTACTCGGAGACTCCTTCAGGGAGTGATAAAGCGGGATATCAAATCCAAACTCCTCCTCCTCTTCTTCTTCTGCATCCTTTGTTCTCTAATACGGGCATACCTCCTAGTTTTGGGGGAGGGAGGGTCCCCCACACCACTCAGTGTGGTGTAGGAGAGCCAGTGTGGTGTAGTGGTTAAGAGCGGTAGACTCGTAATCTGGTGAACCGGGTTCGCTTTCGCGCTCCTCCACATGCGGCTGCCGGGTGATAAAGCGGGATATCAAATCCAAACTCCTCCTCCTCCTCTTCTTCTCCTTCATCTTCTTCCTTCTCCAAAGCCAGCCCTCCATCTCTCTTGCTCGGTGGTTAAACCTGCCTCGAAAAGGAGGGGCAGGGGCTCCCCACCCCTCCTCAGGCTCCTTTGCACCCTTGGCAAGGGGCTGTATTAGCATGGAGAGGCACCATTTTTGTGTTCCCCTGGGCCTGCCCCTTGGTGGGGGTTTTATAAACAAATATCTGCCCCCCCCCCCTTATGGGGTACCCAAGAGCCCTTATAGAGTCCTTTGTAGGTTCTCCATCAGTAGGAGAAAATAACAGAGGCCAACCAGAGAATATTGAGAAGCAAAGCAGCTAGTAAGCCTGATCTTTATTGAACTGTTGCAGCAGGAAAGGAGGAGGACCCAGAACCCAGGTGTGCCTGCCCTTCTATAGACATTTTAAATTCCCTGCCCTGGAGCTCAAGACCACCCCTCCATATATCATACATACATCACAGATGGGGTGTAGCCCAAGACCAACCCCCAGATACATCATACCTACATCACAGAAAAGGCGGTCTACAGCAGAAATCTGAGTGCGTTGTTTATCTCATCTGACAGGTGACCTGTTAATGCTCACTTGATTGGATACCCTGGGAAGCCTGGCCAGTCTTTTGTAATGATAAATACTTAGTTCCTGGGCCAGGTCACAGGCTCACACCCTATTC